AACGTTGGTGTACCCTTGTATGATGCGAGGTGGACAGAGGCCCGGGGGATATAAGCAACGTGCCCATTTTTCAGCTGCCACGCTGAGATGAATAACTGGTGACTGTTGATCTGGAGTTCAAGTGCAGTGCGCTAACCATTGGACCGTGGACAAATTAAAATGCAGTGTACATTACTTGAAATGGCAACCCCTTTTAATATCCGACTCATATGTATTTATATTTCGTGACGTTTACCATTTTCTCTATTTGGCACTCCTATAGTTTTTTTTTAATTGTTTGCTGTTGTTACCTGCTGACCCGCTCACACTGAACATCTGTGAAAAACAGCATCATAATTGAAAACCATTGCGTAATTGTTTCCAATTACGATAACAATAACATGTTTCAATCATGTAACCTCTGCAACTCAAAATGTAAAAATATGTTCTCAGAGTACATGTTTCCCTCACTTTATGCAGTAGATGCATTCCAGGGAAATGGTACAAAAAAGGAAATCGTGAAGCATAGACAAGTCACCCAACCCACAATTCACTGCACGCGACAGCTGCCTGCCGAGTCGCGTATACAGTACACACACACACAATGCTGTCCCACGTCTGACCGCATAGCCGCATGTAGAATAAATTCAATCCACGTAGTGTATAGCGAATTTTGGATAGAAATAGGTTAGACGCATACACGCGAAATCACACGAGGGAAACCTGTATGCTATTTTTGTATTACTAGTGTAGCATCCTTTGATACCGCAATACACCCATTTGAAATGTGATTTTGCTCACGATAATTAAATATTTTTTTAGGTTCAATGTAGAAAACCAAAAATGTGCAACACACTAAATAAATCGCAGCCTTCATTTACATTACTGTATAACTGTTCACTAAATATTCACGAGTTTATGCATTATAGCTAAATGTGTGCAGGCTGAATCTACTTTTAGAAAACATGAATGCATAAAAAGTAAAAAAATATACTTCTGCAACACGATGCATGGAAGTTCTGGTGGATCTGTAGTGACTGGGAATGTCACTGTGTGGTGCCGTGCTTGCGAGGCCACAGCGGGGTGTATACTGTTGTGTGTACACCCCAGACACACGGGGTGTAGTACCAGCCCTAGTGGCTAGTGGGGGCTTGGGTGAGCGCTGGCTAAGCGCGGTGGCACCACGCACAGTGTGCGGTGCGGACTCCCGTTGAGAAAGCGAGAGCGTATAAACCAGCTAAGGTTACATTGGGGGCATGATACTCTGGCTGACCTGGGGACATGTGACCGGATGATACTGGAGGGAGCCACCGGTGGAGGGGGCTGATGGGTGGTCACATGGTCCAAGAAGAACTCTCAAGAGCCTTCGGGCAAGGGCGAGAGGGATCGAGAAGATGGGCAGGGCGAGAGGCAGAGCCAGCCCCTGCCCGGCCCAATATAAGGGGGGCCCTGAGAGGGGCTTGGGGTTCTTAATGTTGGAGGCAGGAGATCCACGTCAAGCTTGAAGAAGCCTCCAGCCACGCAGTCCGGGACTCAGCTTGTGGTCCGGACCAAGATTGTGGAACCGTGTCTAGTTTCAACGTAGCGTGGTTAGTTGGGTGTGTTAATAGCTTGGAGTATGTTGTGCTAACAGTTTAATAAAACGTGTTGCTCCCAAGACAACGTCTGCGACTCTGTTGGACAGATCTATTCGTCAAAATCCAATGAATATATACGCTGATGCAGACGTATATAAAATTGTAATGAAAGAACTGCAGTTGAAGTGTTTAACAATAGAAAAAAGCAACTCTTAATAAACTCCAAACATCATTAGACCTCTTTTGCCAGTACCAAAATATAATAATAGGGTTTTTCCATTTTTTTCTGGCAACAATACTGAAACCTTTTTACGAGGATTCATGTCTGCATTAACCACAATACCTGCAGTCAAAATGCAAACAAAAACATACTATGATAATATATGCATTGTCCTTGAAACTGATTGGTCCACACCAAGGGACGGCTTTCTTTTGAGCCTCGACCTAATTGGTGCTCGACCAGATGCCGCCAAAAGGCGCCAAAAGATGTCATCTGGCCAAAAGGCGTCATCTGGTGTACGCCTTTTGGCGTGATCTGGTCGAGCACCAATTGGTGCTCGCATTTTGACTACAGGTATTGTGGTTAATGCAGACATGAATCCTTGTAAAAAGGTTTCAGTTTTGTTGCCAGAAAAAAAGGGGAAAAACCCTATTATTAATCTCCAAACAATTAAAAATTTCCAGTAAAAAAATGTCTAAAACTATCTTTAAATGATTATAAAATGCAATAAGAACGTCGTATGCAATACATTTTGTAAACAATTATGTGATTACAAGTGTGCATAGCAGAAACTTTTAATATCGGCGTTGTAAGTAGTAATTAGGGGCCCAGACCGTGAAGGCTATTGAGGGGACTACCCCAGCATATCACATGAACAACCCCAACATTCCTCCCCCTTGGCCAAAACTGAGAGAAAATTGCCCTCTCTACCACTTAGCACAACAATGGCATCATTTTGAATGACTGTCATTTGTTGACTCGTGGCCATTCTAAATTTACACTCGATAGCATAAAATAATGGAGGAAAATAGTTATTCTTGAACATTTTCATGTTTTATTAGGGAAAAAAAAGTTTTGCATGGCTGGATTCCTGGCTGGCTGGCGCATGGGCGGCCAAGTGTGCGTCCGCTGTGATGATGTCACTGTTCACATCTGCGTGATGACCTCAGCCGCATCCCACTGCTTTCAACCGGGTTCGTGACGTCACGCCCCCACCCTCAATACCCTCCATTTGCCACGAAGTGACGGTGACGTCACCACGGCGCCTGTGCCAGGCGCACTTCGAGGCCACGTGAACTGTGGAAGGATCGCTGATAGGTCTCGGGACAGACCCAAGTGCCATGGGTTGGCTGACTGAGGTTACTGGTAAATGCACCGGCTGTACTCCCTGCGGTGCCAACTTGCTGCACTTTATCCACCCTTCTCTCCACTCGTTGTTGTGAGCGTCACTCCCCTGCCCTCCGTTGTTGCTGGAGGGCGACTGCCTCCAACTGCCCAGGAGCATTATTCTCGAGCATTCCTCCATAGAGGCCGATCTTGACACCGCTGGTACCATTCGGCAAATCCACTCAGCTCCACATCCTCCCGTACCGCATCAGTCCATTTCTTCTCCAGCACATGTCGTGCCCGTTTAGTCCCCTCTATGCGGCCAAACAGAAACTGCTTTGGCATGCGGTGGCTGGGCATGCGTGCTACATGACCCTGCCAACGCAGCCTTGTCAGAGGAGCTCACTGATAGGAATGTGTCCAGATCTATCAAGGATTTGTGAGCTCGTCACACAATCCAGCCTGGTTAAACCCAGGATGGTTCGTAGGCAGGCCACCACCAACCCCCCCCACACGCACCCCGACCACCCTCCATAGACACCTACACCCCCCCCCCCTACACATCCACCACCTCACCCTCACACACACCACCCCACCTCCTCTCACCCCACCACCACAGGAGGTCTTGGGTCCGATCCCGGCCCTGATGCCTGGATATTTCGAGTGTGCGTGTTCTCTGCATGGTCGCGTGGATTTTTCTCCGTTTTTTTCCTTCCACATTTAGAATCAACATGCGCTTTGAGTATTTGGCTGCTTTAAATGTCTACGTGATAAGCCACTTCCTTGTGGCCAGGTCACTTCTGAAATATAGCTATATAGCTTAGTAGGCCCTACCAGGTAAAATTAAAAAAAAGTTAGTGATAACAAAAAGTATAAATGGGTTAAGCACAGTTAGTTGATGAGCAGGTCACATCAATGAAGAGTAGGCCAAATACCCTCAAGAGGGGTTTTATATATTTCACTCAAGTTGAGGCCATTTTGCCAGCAATGGCCTGAGCAGGCAAATCGCAGGACGTCGTTGTGCCGGATGGCTTATTTGATGTTATCGATTGATGATGAATGTATTTTTGTTAAAACGTTCCGTAATCTAAAACTTTAAAAAGTTTGTCATCAAAGGTTATATTGTACGTGTTATATAATGTTCGCACACTGTCATTTACAAATATCCTCTGCCTGACATTTAAAAATTTACTTATCTAAGCACGCCCAGGAATTACTACACAAAGATAATTTAATATTCAATCAGGATGTGTTATTAATGATTTTCTTATATTTTATGCATGAGATAATTTGGTTTATGAATCAGAATAAATGATGACATTTGAATTTCAGCGATATATTCATAATCACATGTTTGTTTTGGTTGGAGGTTTCGCGGGGTCAGACCATTTTCCCTGGTAATTTAGTCAACAGCATCGTTTACGCAAACAAATTTGGAGAGATTGCAATCAGAAAAATAATTCTGACCGATTCCAGGTGGCCAATCACCCATCCAGACAGCCAAATGTATCTTTGAAATGCATTGCCAATGCCAAGGTAAAATATTTCAATGGTAATTCAAGAAAAATCCAGTCTGCCACAAAAAGCTATTGAAACGTTTGGGTGTTGATCTGACTATACATTATTCATATAAGTCTACCACTCCTACCACCGGAACTGCTATTCAAACCAATGGGAGTACATCACTTGGATCATCAGGACCACCAGAATTACCCCTGGAACCATCAGGGCTATGTACCATTGATGGCGAAGATGATGAAGTGGACAAAAAAGTTGACAGATGATGGCAGATGATAACAATGATGAAAACAGTAGAGATGAAAGGAACAAATTCAACACACATCACACATGACAGTACCGCCTATATAATGCATTTCAATAGCGATTCTGGTCAATACTGGCATCGGCCGTATAGTGAAATGGTGATTCCACGAGGCTAGCCATACACCTGATGAAAATAATAAAAAATGATGAAAATAACAAAGTCAACAAACGCACACCACACATCACAGTACTGCCCATGTAATGCATTTCAATGGCGATTCTGGTCAATACTGACATTGGCCATATATTTAAATGGTGATTCCACGTGGCTAGCCATACACCTGGGACCCTACCTTGTTGTCTGAATGCCACGCTGGGCTCCACGCAGTCTGCACCCCTCCCAACGATAACATGGTTCCAATCCTGTGAAAAATGTGTATTGTAATTTAATAATTAAATCACAATTCCAGGATAGGAGTACTATACGAAAAAATGATTATTATCCTATTCATATACATTACATAATCTGAAAAATAATGAGATGTGTGTAAATTAAACCTGTCACTTTTTTATAGCAAACATTTCACCTGTACCCACCACCAGCATGGACTGCATTAATCTGAAAAAAATGAAAGTGGGTTTCCATGTCCTTTTCTTGAATGGAGTCGTGAGCCCACAAAGATAGAATCACGTGGAATCCAGATCAAGAATAAAATTGGCTACACATGGTGTGTGGTGCCATATGAACTGTGCAGGGGTATCTGGCCAGCATCCAAGTTCTCACGATACATAGAAGTGGTACCTGGTGTAGATTCACACAAAACCTCACGCTGAAAATGACAAATGAGCCAGCGTGTTTTTTTTCATTCAGTTTGCCAACACGAGGCATGTCCACTCCAATTAATAAGAACAGTATGGCAATGCGTTAATCATTCCGTTAAGTGTATTGGCGATGACTGAGGCTGGCAAAGTGGAAAGATAAATCTGGCCTTTTTAGGTAATTTAAGAGGAGTTCACCTTACCCTGTAGGTAATGATAATATATGAACACATTATAAAGAAGTTAGAGGTCCAATGTATTATGCATGCTAGCTGATTAAGCCTATTATACATTTTATAACCATATTTGATTTGTGTACACTTAATCGTATGCATGTTGATTGCATGTGTACTTGGTGTGTAGACGGCTTGCTTGATTGGGCATGCCTACGCTTTCACATCGAGCATTTATGGCGTGATTGCTTTACAAAAAAATGCACACTCGTAACCTTGTGACTGACCCTCAATACACATACACACAAATAAAAATATATCCAGTTCAGGATCACAGGACATAGGTCCAATTATTGTTAGAGGGCACCTAATTACCAAGCTGGCACAGTACATAGGAGGGACAGATTGAGATGACACTTAGCTGGCCAATATATTAGCACCCCCCCTCTCACCACATCCTTAGTGCCTCCACACACATCACTCGTGTATTTAGTTTGCTATCCTTCCCCCACACCTCCGATTATTACAGTTGGCTACATATGGTGCAAAAGAAGTTCAACATGCATAAAGCATACCACATTTTACAGCTTAAATTACATCTGATTTCCATAGGCGGATGTCAACACGATCCATTCGGTAAATTCAAACTCTGTAAAGACCATAGGATTCTTCCAAACACTTACCCATGAGATTTCTGACCCCACTGGTAGTCGTTCCTCTGAGAAAATAAAATGATCTCAAAGGAAATTCATAATAAACGTTTTTTTTTTGGGTTAGATCGCATACGCATACATGTTGTTAAAAGCCAATAAATTCCGGATACAGGGAAACTTCTCTTGCCTGTGATCCTATTACCCGTGGCTCCTATTATTTGCAGGAACTTTAGGAGGATCAATAAGTCATAATACATAGTCCTATTCTTCAATTAATAATTACCTATTCGAATGTCTTACAGAGCAGTATATTCCATCGTGTTAGAGAACGGCCCACGCAAGAGGATATCACAGAGCGAGCTCTGAGATCTCTTCAATTACAGTTTCCTACCTTCTCTGCATTTGCAAACAACGTTTGTCACATGACAGTCAAACGGATATTTAATTCTCGAAGCTGGAATTTATCCAAATGAAGTTAAGAATCAAATGACTGTGATTTTTTTTTGCAATCCTTAGTGACTGACTACATTTGAGGACCCAGTTTAATATAAGACAACTACCTGAATTCGAACCCACCGTCTCAGCAGTGCCTGCTTAGCACTCTGACCTCACAGCTACCCAGTCACCCCAAGAAGAATTGATTATTATTTAATGGAATCACCACCTTCAATCATGACAATCGAATCTCTGAGGAGGTGAATCATTCCACCCATACTGTTTACTATTTACACTACAATACAGACATTGCACTGAACCACAACTTGTTTACTTGTTATACCAAATGCCAGAATAAAAAGGTTTTCGTCAGCTATACTTTGTGACTTTGGATGACCTTGTGACATCAGAATAACTCTAATGAATAGATTAGAAATAAAATGCCATCTTTATAAAATGGCTTTACCAGGCATATATTTGTATAATGTATTTTTTTTCAGGAAATTATTTGAGATGGTTCTCTACTAAAGGCAATACATATAAGAATATTTATCTACATTAGCAGATCGGAGCCAGTTTTTCGTAATTCCACTTTGGAATGTTTTGGTTGGAGTATTCGTATGACAACCAGTGCTGCCTTCTCACAAATGGGTATTTACATTATATATAATTATCAACCCTGGACAGAAGACGGGCTGAGTGGACTAACAATTACAATTTTAACATGCAACTTCCTGATTGTGAGTTGAGCAGTATAGCCACAATGCCACCCCAGCCATATATATAGACAGAACATATTATTTAAAGATTTGTATATTGTATTGTGTAACAAGGGCCTAATACCATGTCCATAAGTCAGAGGCTAAATGATTTATCTCTATTGTAGAAAGAAATTAGATCTCAAAAAGTAATGGACAGTTTTTCATCCAAGAGTTGTGCTGTTGCTTTCATATTCCATGCAAGTAATTACACGTCCATTGAAAACAAATAGTTAAAGGAGACTGATATATTGTGTCATATGGCCTCTAACAGCCTCATAATACTGGCATGTGTGCTTTATAATAGTCCTATCCTGTGACAGAGATTGTGAGAATCCATATGGATTTTGACCAGCATAGTGTCTAAGTGGAGGAGGACTTATCATGTTAATGCTACAGCACAGTGTTGCATCTATGCATGAGCACTAAATCAAGTAATTTAATACAGCCATACTCTCACGTGAAATAAACCGATGCAAATGAAGTTGCCTTGGTGGTGGATGTTTTCTTCTTTTAAAATGTGTTATATATTTATTTATATGTTGCCTTTATTAAAAACAAGCCACAAGCAATGTCTGGGACATATAAAGCCTAACGACATTTTATAACTCACCAGTGCACATTATGTGCTGCTGACATGGGCTGTTTAATTTGGCATTTTCAGACACTCATTTTACATAAGGATGAGATTGTTTTTTTACATTAATTTTCACAATTACTAGCTAGGAATCACAATTGAACTCTTAGAATCCAATGCAATTCTTCATGGGATCACAAGATCAGCATAATTGTGTGGAATATGGGGGCAGTCCAGTACAGATTTTCACCAAAAAATAGATGATGCATGGGACTTGGCCATTCTTGCAGAATCACCATTGAGATATATTGTATGGCCAATGCCCATTAGGCAGAATTGCCCCAATTCTATCCCAATGCCACCATGTATGTACGCATGTTGAACTTCTTTCGCACCGTACATAGCCAACCCTGCTAATCAGGGGTGCAGGGGAAGGACAACAATTATAAATGTGGGGGAAAAATTGGAGGACCCGCAGAAAAATCCACGCAGCTATGGGGAGAGAGACAGGCAGACTTCAAATATAGACGTCGTCAGGGTTGAGATCGAACCCACGACCTCATGTATACCAGGTGAGGTAGTTAACACTTCACCGCCGTGGCATGACATTTGGGCAATACAGGAGGGCCCATTGCAGGCCAGATAGGGTGATCCCAGGCTGTTCTTGGAGTAATTAAGTGTGTAGCCTAGCGTATACACAGGGTAGCTATGTATACATATATACGTACAGTCAGGGAAAAAAAGTATTTGATCCCCTGCTGATTTTGTACGTTTGCCCACTGACAAAGAAATTATCAGTCTATAATTTTAATGGTAGGTTTATTTGAACAGTGAGAGACAGAATAACAACAAGAAAATCCAGAAAAAGGCATGTCAAAATGTTATAAATTGATTTGCATTTTAATGAGGGAAATACGTATTTGACAAACCTCTCAATCAGAAAGATTTCTGGCTCCCAGGTGTCTTTTATACACTCTTAAAAGGAGTGCTCCTAATCTCAACTTGTTACCTGTGTAGTGGAGTAGCAAGGTGCGTAGTGGAAACAGCATGATTACATGATAACACAGACAGTACGGGTTATGTTGAGTCAGCCTGTAGCAAAGGCAAATACAGTACAGGTTATGTTAGGGCAATTAAGCTGGGAGAGCCAAGGACGGCTGTGATTGGTTGGTGCTGTTGCCAAGGCGGGAGGGGCGTCTTGAAGTCTGGCGAGGAACAGGTGTACGGTCACGTGGAGTGCCGTTGGGACGCGGGTTAATTAATTGGGGAGTAATGAGAGCAGGGATAAATTGGGGGGTCGGCAATTGGAGCGAGGTGGTTGAAGTTGGAGAGCTTGGAGCGAACAGGGGGGAATTTAAGTTGGAGTCAACAGCGGGGAATTGAAGCATGGAGAGCTTGGAGACAGAGAGTTGGAGGGACAGAGTTTGGGAGACGGAGTTGGAGACGGAGTTTGGAAACAGCGTTGCGATAGCGAAGCTGAAGAAGAGAAGCAGCCAGCAGTGGAGAGAGCGTAGCGATAGCGGAGCTGAAGAAGAGAAGCAGCCAGCAGTGGAGAGAGCATAGCGATAGCGTAGCTGAAGAAGAGAAGCAGCGAGCGGTGGAGAGAGCGTAGCGATAGCGGAGCTGAAGAAGAGAAGCAGCCAGCAGTGGAGAGAGCGTAGCGATAGCGTAGCTGAAGAAGAGAAGCAGCGAGCGGTGGAGAGAGCGTAGCGATAGCGGAGCTGAAGAAGAGAAGCAGCCAGCGGTGGAGAGAGCGTCGCGATAGCGGAGCTGAAGAAGAGAAGCAGCCAGTAGTGGAGAGAGCGTAGCGATAGCGAAGCTAAACAGAGACAAAGCAGTTAGCAGTGGAGAGAGCATAGTGACGGTGATAGCGGAGAGCAGAGACGAAGTAGTTAGCAGTGGAGAGAGCATAGTGACGGTGATAGCGGAGAACGGAGACGAAGAAGTTAGCGGCGGAGTAAGCGAAGCAATTGTGGGGGAGTGGAGAGACAAAGGGGCGAGTGAGTCGAGTGAAGCACGGCGAGCGAGCCGTGGCGACATGGATACTGTAAAATATTGAGGACATGCTGAGGGTTGTAAATGAAGCGGTGTTCGAAGAAAGACAAAAGTTGTCCGAGTGAAATCGAACACTACACCTGTATAAAAGACACCTGTCCACAGAAGCAATCAATCAATCAGATTCCAAACTCTCCACCATGGCCAAGACCAAAGAGCTCTCCAAGGATGTCAGGGACAAGATTGTAGACCTACACAAGGCTGGAATGTGCTACAAGACAATTGCCAAGCATCTTGGTGAGAAGGTGACAACAGTTGGTGCGATTATTCGCAAATGGAAGAAACACAAGAACTGTCAATCTCCCTCGGCCTGGGGCTCCATGCAAGATCTCACCTCGTGGAGTTGCAATGATCATGAGAACGGTGAGGAATCAGCCCAGAACTACACGGGAGGATCTTGTCAATGATCTCAAGGCAGCTGGGACCTTAGTCACCAAGAAAACAATTGATAACACACTACACCGTGAAGGACTGAAATCCTGCAGCACCCGCAAGGTCCTCCTGCTGAAGAAAGCACATATACATGCCCGTCTGAAGTTTGCCAATGAACACCTGAATGATTCAGAGGACAACTGGGTGAAAGTGTTGTGGTCAGATGAGACCAAAATGGAGCTCTTTGGCATCAACTCAACTCGCCGTGTTTGGAGGAGGAGGAATGCTGCCTATGACCCCAAGAACACCATCCCCACCGTCAAACATGGAGGTGGAAACATGCTTTGGGGGTGTTTTTCTGCTAAGGGGACAGGACAACTTCACCACATCAAAGGGACGATGGACGGGGCCATGTACCGTCAAATCTTGGGTGAGAACCTCCTTCCCTCAGCCAGGGCATTGAAAATGGGTCATGGATGGGTATTCCAGCATGACAATGACCCAAAACACACGGCCAAGGCAACAAAGGAGTGGCTCAAGAAGAAGCACATTAAGGTCCTGGAGTGGCCTAGCCAGTCTCCAGACCTTAATCCCATAGAAAATCTGTGGAGGAAGCTGAAGGTTCGAGTTGCCAAACGTCAGCCTCGAAACCTTAATGACTTGGAGAAGATCTGCCAAGAGGAGTGGGACAAAATCCCTCCTGAGATGTGTGCAAACCTGGTGGCCACCTACAAGAAGAGTCTGACCTCTGTGATTACCAACAAGGGTTTTGCCACCAAGTACTAAGTCATGTTTTGGAGAGGGGTCAAATACTTATTTTCCTCATTAAAATGCAAATCAATTTATAACATTTTTGACATGCGTTTTTCTGGATTTTTTTGTTGTTATTCTGTCTCTCACTGTTCAAATAAACCTACCATTAAAATTATAGACTGATCATTTCTTTGTCAGTGGGCAAACGTACAAAATCAGCAGGGGATCAAATACTTTTTCTCCTCACTGTATATAGCCTTGGCTATATACACATGCTCCATTCTTCCTGACTGTGCATGGGCAGGGGTAATGATCGTGCCCAGGCCGGCCTCACCTTGGCCATTCCGGCTCCATGCGTCTTCTCGTTTTATCTGAAAGCCATGGCAGAATCGGGTTGGAATAAAGCCAATTTAGTGTACTGGGCAGTGCAATTCAATGGTAATTGTGGCAAGCCAGAATTGGCAATGCTTATACACTTGGCTAAGTATAGCTAAGCAAAACTCTAAACACAGTCAAGCTTAGCTAAGCTATTTTTAAAATAGAATACCATTCTATTGCACAAAGCTTCTGTTGCAAAATTCCTGTGATGATCCCATTCAAATCAATTGTGATTTCAGCATGACAGTCCTGCCATCCCAAAAACTCTTGTGATGTCACAATCCATATCTCTCCTGCACATGAGCTGATCCTATGACTCCATCTCCATGACAGTCATTCTCTTGGGCATGTTCTCTGTTTTGATGCCATTCCATTACCAGTCTCATGCATTGGTCATAATCCCTTCGAGTGACGTGTCCTACCTAAGCCCAAATAGTTTTGTGAACAGTCAAACTTATGTTTTTGGCCTGCATATCATCTCCATTCTATCTGTTTTCCTTTCTGTCTCTCAATTTAATTTCACGCACGCACCTCTCCATGCTTTGTTGAGCACTTTTAAGCGTTTTGTTCCATTTTATTTTTCAGTTTCGACGTTTGATTGAAAATGTTTTTCAGGCACAATGGTATTTCGATTTTAGATTGCTTTTGTTCAGTTTCACAAAAGCACTCCAACATGTTATCGTTGCAGTTATATGAGCTCTCACAAATAAAGGCCTAAATAAGCATATGTTGAAATAATAAGTTGAAATTGCAAATAACACATCAGAACGAGAGTAGAGGAAGTAAGTAAACTGTCGCTGAATATATTCAAAGAAACAGATGTGCTCTAAACATTGGATTGGATAAATAAAGGGATACACGTTTATAGATAAAGTATTAACAATCTAAAAAGTTATGATGACACAGTCGTTCTTTCGACCGATGTAAATATATTACAGAATATTTGCAGAGCTAAATTAAGAAGGCTACAAAGGTGAACTCAAGATCAATGAGTTCAACGATTAAATAAAACTATGCAAGGTCCTAAAAATAATTAAAACAATACATGTATGAGAGCGTCCACATAGCTTTAGCACTTTACAATGTGACACATATAGATAGTGAATATCACATCATGAATACAGTACAGTACAAGGCCGTAGCCATGGAGTCAACATTGGGGGGGACCAAATCTTCCAGGGGGTCTGGGCGTCCCCCCCCAGAAAAAAATATAAATTTGAAAACGAATTTCCTGCCATTTCCTGCCTAAAATATAACAAAAAATTTCACTAACACATAGGATGGACTTTTATGTTATTTTTTACAATCATGTCTAATAGTGTATCGTATTACATTGTTCTGCTTTATCTTCTTTTTACCTTTTCTTATTTCATTGTATGTAATGGCAGAGACTAGGGATTAATAAAGTACAACCATAACCACAATAATATAAACAGAAATCTATTTTATAGCAATATATTGGGGGGGGGGGGGGGACATTTTGAGCATATTTGAATATTGGGGGGGGGATGTGCCCCCCCCCAATATATATTATAATTACAGCCTTGGTATAGTATAAGAACAAATGAAACTTAGTTGTTTCTTTGGCATTTTATTTTATGTCTGCACATTATCCAAAAATAAATATTTTCCAAAGGAACCCACTGCTACAAATGGTTGTTCACAGTTGCACATATCAAAGGTTGTGTGGTGCCACGGCCACGGAGCAACTCTGCCAGCACCGCGACTCCCCCCTGGCCCTACGCTTAGCACACACACTGAGCACCCACATGCAGCGCACACACGTAGTGTCCTGGTGGGGGATCGCCTGGCGCAACGGGTTTTCATCCAAAGGGTCCCTAGGAGGAAAGTCCCACGGTTTCCTG